ACGACTGTGTCTTATTCTGTCCCGCTCGGACAGCGCCACCAACGACCATGAACAACGTCGTGGTGTAGAAGGGCAACTGCTAGTCGCCACACACTCCCCCCGAGTGCTAACGCTGGAGAGAAATAAAATACAATGTTTGGTATGACACTGTGTGTCTATCACAAATAATCGGCGCTGCCGAATATCACATAGAATATTGCAGGAATAATTGTAATACCGCTGCTTAGAACTAGGGTGTATACGCAGGATGTATCACAAAGAATAATGACTATTATAATATTGCCGCTGCTTATTATAATGCAGGGTGCAGGAACGTAATTGACAATACCGCTGCTTACAGACTAACGCATACGCAGGATGTATCACAAAGAATTACAAAATAGTACCGCTGCTTACAACTAAAAGAAAATGTATACGCAGGATGTATGCAATGAACCCGAAATATTATAACATAGAATAAATATTATACCGCTGCTTAAAGACTAACGCATACGCAGGATGTATAAATAATTGCACTTGGAATAATACAGTACCGCTGCTTAAAGAGTAACGCATACGCAGGATGTACGTATAAACCGAAGAGAATACGCGACCGTGACCAGAATGAAAATTATTATAATCAGAAATGGAAAAACGGGAAATATCACGAGACACGGTAGTGTCTCGCGCCAAGTGTAAGCGTAGCTAGTACACGCGTGCGAGACCGACCGTGTAAGTTTACGCGAGTACACGAGTTGACGGGCCCTCAGATTTTCGGATCTCAACAACGGCTGATTCGACGAAATTGAGACTGCGCTTAATCGATAGCTTGGGTACGATTTGCATAATAAAAGTGTTTTTACTTTTCTCCTACGTGCTCCAGGAGTGGAGGTATTGCAATGCAAAAGTCAGATTTGTTAAATTTTGGATTAAGAAACGTCTTTGTCGTCTTCGTCCCGGTCGTCGTCGTCGTCGTCGTCGACCAGACCAGCATTTTCACTTGACTTTTCACTTGACCACGTTGCAATTGACCACGGTCCCGATCGACCACGTTA